ATTAATATTAACTGCATTATTTGTTTCTAGTGAATTAAAGTTTGCTAATTCTTTTTCCAGAGGTTCTTTAATTTCTGCTACTTTAGCACGATCTAGACCATATAATATATCTAGATCATCTGTTTTTTTTGAAATAGCTTCATTGTTATTTTGATATTCCACTGGAGGATTCATATTAACTGCACTATTTGTTTCTTTAGCAACATCTTTATGAACTGTCATATGTTTATTAAAATAATCTTTTCTCTTAAAAGCCTTTTTACAAATAAGGCATTCAAAAGGTTTGTCTTTTGTATGAATTTTCATATGCGATCTAAGATTACGTTGTGACTTACAAGTCCAATCACAAACCGTGCATTCAAAAGGTCTTTCTTCTTTATGAATTTTCTCATGTCTTTCAACATCAAATTTTCTCTTAAAAGCCTTATTACAAATACGGCATTCAAAAGGTTTGTCTTCTGTATGAGTTTCCATATGCGATCTAAGATTACGTTGTGACTTACAAGTCCAATCACAAACCGTGCATTCAAAAGGTCTTTCTTCTTTATGAATTTTCTCATGTCTTTCAACATCAAATTTTCTCTTAAAAGCCTTATTACAAATACGGCATTCAAAAGGTTTGTCTTCTGTATGAGTTTCCATATGCGATCTAAGATTACGTTGTGACTTACAAGTCCAATCACAAACCGTGCATTCAAAAGGTCTTTCTTCTTTATGAATTTTCTCATGTCTTTCAACATCAAATTTTCTCTTAAAAGCCTTATTACAAATACGGCATTCAAAAGGTTTGTCTTCTGTATGAGTTTCCATATGCGATCTAAGATTACGTTGTGACTTACAAGTCCAATCACAAACCGTGCATTCAAAAGGTCTTTCTTCTTTATGAAGTTTCTCATGTATTTTAACATCAAATTTTCTCTTAAAAGCCTTATTACAAATACGGCATTCAAAAGGTTTGTCTTCTGTATGAGTTTCCATATGCATTTTAAGAATATATCGTAACTTACAAGTCCAATTACAAATCGTGCATTTAAAAGGTCTTTCTTCTTTATGAAGTTCCTCATGTCTTTTAACATTAGTTCTTCTCTTAAAAGCCTTATTACAAATACGGCATTCAAAAGGTTTGTCTTTTAAATGTATCTTCATATGTTTGTTAAAATCTTTTTTCTTCTTTGTTTGAAAAGAGCATGTAGCACATGCTAATTCGTCATTTTTTTTTAAAGGGGAATGGATTTTCTTGTGATCCTGTAAATTAGTTGTAGTTTTAAAAGCCATATAGCATATTTGGCATATACGATCTTTGAGATTATTTGAGTGCGGAATTGGAGCTTCTACAGCCTCGGGATGAGCTGGTAGATGTCCTTCTGTTACATTAGCATTTGCCACTAGCATACTATTATAACTAGTACTGGTATCTGCATCTGAACTAGATAATAAATCTGGTAATTGATATGGGTTATTTGATTCTGTAGATATATACAAATCCATTTTTACATCCCTGTATAATAAACTTATTTAACTTGTTAAATTCGTGGTACTTTTTAAATAAATCATCCTGATTTATGTTCGAAGAATATGTTCATATTTAAATTTTTGCAGGTTGCTTATATCTTTATAAAATTATTTGCATATCTATTTAAAACTAAGGTGGGTCATTTTACTATATAATTAGTGTAAAAGCAACTTTATTATCATGTATATTTTAGGTCAATAAACGTTATTTTAGATCTTGGAAAAAAGATCAAGTTCAAGGCAAAATACTGCCCAAATGCCTATGGATCAGAGGTTTTAACGATGGAGTAAACCTTTTTATTTAGCCTTGTGATCTAGAATCTTATAGACACCATATAAAATCAATTATTTATTTTCATTAGAACTATTCTGTTTTAACTCATGTATCAAAAACAGCATTTTTCAAAAGGTTTTTTACCAACAAAAGAAACTAACTCACCAGTTTTTAAGCTTATTGGTAATAGTTTACACAGGCTAGCGATAATGTTTTTTAAAGTTCGATATTTTCTAAAAATAAAAACCTTACATATTTTTATCAGTATCATCTTCATCAAAATTAGATGATAAATCATCTAAATTGAAATTTAAAAAATCTGCATTAGAATCTAAAAAATCCTTATTAAAATAATTTATTTCTAGTTGTGGTCTAGTTGCACTTTTTGTCTCTATTTCTTTGAAATTTGCAAATTCTTTTTCCAGAGTGTCTCTAATTTCTTTTTGTCTAGCCATCTGTGTAGAATCTAGAGGAGAGTCTAGAAAACTAAATGTAGATTCATTATTATCATTGTTGTCATTGTTATTTTGATATTCCATTGGAAGATTAATATTAATTGCACTATTATTTGTTTCTAGTGAATTAAAGTTTGCTAATTCTTTTTCCAGAGGTTCTTTAATTTCTGCTACTTTAGCACGATCTAGACCATA